AGGTAGGTATAGTTATAAACACATTATAATAGGTCAATAGGTGTTATAATGTATTTAGTGTGTCGGCCGCAAAAAGAAATTATTATTAAAATGTTATCCGTGCGCACCTATTGGCACTGTTATTGGCTTGGCTGTACTATATACGAGTATATTATTGGATATTATAATGTGTCAAAATATTGCGGTGCCGACTGCAGCCGATTATGCATTATACCATTATGTTGTTAGCAGGTGGTAACCGCTGTAAACGATATTATTGTTGTGTACAATATTATTGGAACGAAGAAAAAATAAAAATAAATAAAAAGTTTATACTACAATAATAATATCATATATAGGAGGTAGGTACGTTAACATATTATTATTATGTCGACTGATATTCGATGTATTATATTATTATATCCGCTGCGGCCGAGGGGTACGGCGTTATATGTTATAATTTCGTTATAGGTATTTGATTTGTTTTTTACATAAGACGGAATACTACTTACGGAGAGACCGGGAGAGGGTTATGTAAGTTTGAGTAACACTAAAACGAAAAAAAAAAAAAATACAACATAACAAGGAGGTTTTGTTGGATAACACAGGTTGGCGCAATCCACTAGAGGGCGTCGATACAGGCAGGCAGACACCGTCGTCGTTATTGTATACGCACAGCAATATTGCGTCATTGACAAACTTGGTACCAATATATAATATTATTCTTATTATGTAAAACCTTAGGTAAACCTCTGGCGGCCGGGACATTTTTACCGCATTATGTATTGTGCGTACGATGACGGTAACAATAATAATAGTAATAAAATAACACAATATTATGCCTGTGAGCTGCTGCTGCTGCTGCACAAGCGTTGTCATAATACGAGCATATTATGGTCATATGGATGCTATGCAATAATAATAATAATAATAGCATTTATGTCGAACGGGGTTTTCTGGGGCTACGGATTTTGTGTTGGCCGGAAAGTTTCTGGACAGTATATATTATAATTTATTTAACTAACAGTGTTCAATAATTATTACCTAATTAACATTAACATTGTCATCTGTCACGGGAAGAACATAATATAATCATACACAGCGAGGACAGAGCTGCTATGACTTATAATTTTATATTTAATTAACCTAACCTAACCAATAATATATAGAAACATTTCCTTCTGCACAGTTATGTTATGTTATATTATATTATATTTGTTTCCTTATATATTATAATATAGAGATGAGCAGTGAGCACTGGCTTAGTGAGCGTATGTCGAATTAATATTATTAAATTAATAGTGATGTTATTATTATACATATTACTCTATGACCCATGTTATATATATCTACTCATTCGCACATACTATGTTGATTAATCGACTTAAACTAACAATCAGTTAAACGTTTTTTTTTTTTTTACTTAGTGCATATTATTATGGTATAAGCCCATGTTATATAACAATTAATTTATGTTTATACAGTTTTCACGCAACAAGTAATTATTTCCATTAATTAAAATTATATTGATACGACTCGAATACATACATACAATACTACTTAATATAATAATATGTATATGTATTAACCTTAACACGTAGGTAATGTCATAATTCATTAGAGGACAATATTAATATTACCACAGAATATAATAATACAATTATTATTACTAGGCAAGTACGAACAATGTATTTACTATTTTTACAAAAGTCAGTTTACTTATTAGTTATACCTACTTAAGGCGTTTAAAATGTGAACAGCAAAACCGTAATGGGATTTCAACTAATAAAACATATTATCATCGAAAAATAACACGTTATGTAACTGTTATGGGATAAGTGATAAGTGATAACGTTTCAACGATCTACAGTATACTACACTGTTATAATAATTTAGGTACATATTATATTTCTGAAAATAATTCATTCTGTTCAATAGGTACGATTTTATTGTGAATTCGTTTTAGCAAATAACACCAGTATAGCCAATAAAACAATCCATCATCATGCATGGTATTAACATGATTTGAACTCATCAGTCATCATCATAACAATATTATCGCAGCTTTTGGAAATCTTTTCAGTACAAGATACAACTCTGGTAGTATTATATCCTATAGTAGGGATATCAAATCCGTGACAAGCGAAAAATTAAAATAAGTACATATTAATATATTATTAAATTTGATTTTTAATAATAAATAATAAGATGACAATGTTTTTCTTATATTTATATACCTACGTATATATTTTCATAATTTAATGGCATGCAGGAAAGAAAATCAGGTAATTTTTGATATGTAACGTCAGAGAAATTCTCCATTCCTGGCCTATATAGGTACTTAATGGCCAAATGAAGGCTCTTCTTACCTTTAGCTAATTCACCTAAGTAATCATTTTTAATTAGTTCAACTGGATTTCAAGGTAATAAGTTACCATTTATTGTTCTATTAGATGATACCGATAGAGATATGCATATGCTGTATATATGCATAGATATGGTATGGTTTTAACCATATTAAACAATATATCTAGATTAGTATACCTACTATATAGACTTCTATAAGCGATGGTATGTTTTTAAATTCTTTTATATACCTAGCTAAGTGATTTACAAAATATGTTTTTCACCACATAAGGAGTTCATATTATAATATATATATTTTTGCATAATAGTTTATTCTCATTCTCATTTGCAAGTTGCTATCACAGTTATTTGACTATTAAATCATTCTGGAATCTAAATACGATTTTTTCTATTTACCACAAGACAATTTACAATTTTATTGCAATATGACGATAATTAAGTTAGCTAAATTAATATTTATAATAAATACGTCGTACGGTTCATGAACAACACGGTGAGAAAATCACTCATTGGTAACACTTCTTAATATTAAACTAACATAACGTCTCTTCACCATTTTCGTAGGCGTGGTGGATTTTTGGGTAATGTACTAATGTGTTAGGAATCCCTAGTAAAACTCAGTAGGTATCTAGTGTGTTTCTTTAGAGAAAAAAGTAGATTATACTTTATAGTACCTACCTATGTATTTATATTTTGGTGAAAACATTTATAAATTATTAGGGCTAGTTCGGTAGTGGTTTTACCTTTATGTATAAGGCAATGTTTGATAGTTATAGGTACCGAGAAACGTTTGTTAATTGTCACTTGTCAGTACCTATGTCCTATACTCAGGGCAATGCAGATTTAATTACTGAATTGGTCTGATTTTAGAGGGTTTGGCAGGACCCCAGATTGAAATTCCTTAGATCAAACGGTCTTTATAATTTGACTAGTAATTAGTTGATTAGAGTGATATTAATAATAATAGATTAATGAAACAAATCTCCTCCCCCCCAAGATTGGTTATTACCTATGTTATTAATTATTAGGTAAGTAGTTCTTTTTTCGATATTATAATATTATATTGTATTGAATAACATAATAACTATTTTCGGGGAAAAGTATTGTCGAAAATAGTCAATATAACCAATCAAATATAATATATAAATGTATACCTAGTAATGAATGACACATTTAAAAAATAAATATTGACGAATGTTTCCCATCACGATGACATTTTAATTAATTAACTATAGAAATGAAGAAAACTATTTATTAACTAATTAAATAAAATTAACTAATTTTTTATCGCATAAATGCACACATACGATGTTGGCGGTATTTTGGTGCACAAAGTCCCTTTTTACGGGATAAGAATTTGTTGATCCATGCTATATTATAGGTTATTATGTGTCAAGGGCGCATGAGTCATTTTCGATAATTTCCATTGATGCCAAATTGTCAAAGCACTCAAAGCATATAATTTTTGTATGTATTGAATATAATTGTATATATATATATATTGAGTTAACACGTAGGTATGTAATTTAAAATATATTTGTCATAGCTATAAATGCCTCAAGACTATTGTTTACAACTCACAAGTTTTCATGCCGACTTTGATGTCTTGATGTATATTTAATGAAGACATTTAGTTGGACTAGGTGGAATTTTAATTAAATAAATCGTCGAAAAAAAATATCGACCGAATCATGTTTTATAATAAACTATTAAAATTGTAATGTGGGCAAATGTGGCAATGTGTCAAAAGAAATCATTGTTGTAAGACTCTATGTCTAACTGAAAGGCAAATAAATAATAATACAAGATCTGCGACAAGGAATGTATTTTAGTTTTTAATGTTATTAGGTAGGTGCTTAATACCTTTAAAACTATATTAGAACATAATGTATAGTTTGCACGTCTTGGTTTTTAAATCGGTACTATACCATTTATAAAAGCAATTGTATATTTTTTTAGTTTATTTTTGAGATATAAAATGAAAGACTTATTGTTTACTCAGTTTACGGTATCAGTATTTAGTACTTAGTATGTTTGGTAGGTGAACAACACTTTTAAAACAATTATTTTTCATTACACAAGACCACGTTTTTTTTCTACTGATATATTTAATTTACTTAATGAGTATTATGACAAAAGAATTGAATTATGTTCAATACCCGGTTATAGTGAAAATTTATTAGCCTTCGTGCGCGGCGTGTACCTAAACGTAATAATCTGGTTAAAGATAATATTAGCTTATCATCATTTGATCAACGCCTTTTTTTCTTTTCAGAACAATGAACACTAATACCAATTCAAACTATATTGTTTGATTAATTATATATTATAATTCACTTATAGGTACTTGTAAGACGATATTATATTATTATCTGTGCTCGATTCGGGAAAAATTAAGTAGAGGAGCTTAATCTAAGTGTTTAAAAATTGAGTTCCAAGGGCGCAATCATTCATCACAGACCATACAAAAAATAGTAAGGGAACGCAAAAAAAAAATAAAAATATTAGGAGAGCTCAGTCCCCCTGCGCACCCCCCTCCCCAATTCAAGCTCTGATTATTATGTTTTATAATATATAATAAATTTGATATAATCGATTTCGATCGATGCATAAATGTTGGCGTCAAAACTCAATCAGCTGTCGTTGTGTTTCAGGAGGTGAAAATTATGATTTGTTGAACGTCAGGTCAAGAACGCTGCTTAAACTCGGACTCAATGAAAACGCTCTTTCGGACGCTGTCCGTGTTGTCCAAATAAAACCCAAGTGGTCCAAAGTACGTTTTTTTTTATACACGTCTTACTCGTTTGTGCGGCACGTGGTTATAATAATTTAAAATTCATTAGGGACATTTCACCCGGGGCATGGCGTTGTTTTCTCTGGAGAGATATCAAGAGGCGTTATTAGAGTTTTCGTTGAGCGCAGTGCTCGGCGAAAACCAGCAAAAACTCCAGTCTCAAATTAACGAGGTGTTACAGAGGTTACTGACCATGTATTCCAATGAAACTGAGGATTTAGATCTAGAGGGTTGGAATCCGATATCTCACAGTTACCTAAGATCGTACTTGAACACGTTTATCAACAGATCCAACGTATTCGACAACAGTTCAAACTCTTTAAAAGTGGTGTGTTGACAATCAATAATATTCATTTCGAAAATCAAATCTTCATATTATTTTTTTGCTTTTAGAAATCTGTTGTAAACGAAAGCACATTTATGAAAAAACAACTCTGTGAAATCAGCACAATAACTGAGTTGGTCCAACATATTTTTGTTGAAATAATGCAGACTAAACGTAAGTAGATTAAACCATGCTGACTATTATACTTAGAAATTACTTATTGGTATAGCTTTAGACGAGCCCGAAAATTATAGAGTTACAAAATTAAGTTACTTTTAACTGAGTTATATTTTAACGGGTTACTTTATTTTTAAGTAACTTTTAACTTACTAGGTAGGTAGTTAATTTGTTTTTCATGTAATGTACTTATAAGTTATACTAATCAGTTATTTAATTTTATATTCACGTTAAGTTAATGTTTGATAATTTAAACCCCGTAGATTAAAAATATATTCTGTTTTGTTCAATGGATAGTTTAATAAAAAAAATGAATGCATAGTTAATCGTAATTAGTTATTATTTATAATGTTATATGTATTGTAAATACTAAACTGAAAAACTGTTAAAGTGTCGAATGCGCTATTCATGAATTTCAATATGGATCAAAATAATTTAATAACGTATTATGTTTATAATAAGTTTATATTAACGTTATTTAGTTTATACCAATTACCTATACATTTCCATAGAAAAAGAAATTACAATCTCACCTAAACATATTAATTTTAAATCTCACAATAATAACAATATCAGATAACCTAGTTTGACGTTTAAAGAGACATTATTATCTAGAGATACCATGATTTCTTAAAAATCAGTTTTAACTTCAGTTTGTAATGTTCTATATTGTTAGATGGAATCTCTTTCTGTCATAACTTAGAAATTGTAATATGTATTATTTTTAGTATATATTTGTGTTTTTCTATACATATACATATACAATATACACATATTATACATATTATGTACTTTTATCAAATTTGCTTATTTTGCTTTGGCTTTGATTATGAATTTTCAGTGAAAAAATGTAACTTTCTTTTAATCAAGTTCAGTTACTTTAAACTTAATGTATATTTTTTATATTAACTTAATTCGACAAATTAAAAACACTAGTTAATTTAACATATAGATATCACTTATCAGTTACTTATTTTTTTAACACAATTATTATTCTTGGAATTCATGTTTTTATAAATACAATTATATTTTAACGAATATTTTGAGCAGGCACTATAAATAATTATAATATATAAATATGTAGAACATTCTTATTCAAGGTTGTAGTTCAAATTGGTTTGAATGATCTGACAAACGAGTAGATAACCCAGTGTTATTGTATGCAAACTGCAAAGTGTGTGTTTCAATAAAATGCAGGTTATATTTAAAGTTTTATTCTATAACTCGACTACTGTCATGTTTTATCGGAGATGTGCCAAAAAGTTTTCATTTCAGTCATTGATCATTAAATTAAATTAAATTTTTATTTTTCCAAAAACAATATACCAATTACTTTAATGAATTTTATCAACATTCAGCTAATCAGACAGATCTTTATTTAAGTATTCAACTCATTTATAAAAAGATAGGACATTATATACACTGCAGTGTTGTTTTAACTAGAAATTGTAATTTTAATTTATCATGTGGTTTTAGATAGGTACTTAGCTACTTCTAAGAAAATATTGATATTTGCTAATGATTCTAAAATGTAATGAAAAATAAAATATATAATGAAGATTTTAATATTCAAAAAATAATAATAAAAAAAAAAAAAAAATAATCAAATTAAAATTAAAAATAATAATCAAATCTAAAAAGCTTGTTTCTATTTATATTTTAAATCTAAAACATTATTATTTTTTAAATATGAATTTTGCTCATGCTAAGTGTTGCTAATAGGTGACTTCCTACCCCCGTATTATCCTGCTTGTTTACTCTCTTCAAATACGTTTATTGTGCTCTTAGTATAGAATGTATAATTCTTATGAGAATAAAAAAAAAAAACATGAATTTTATTATGATTATTTTATATTTCTTTATTTTTAGCTATTACTATATTACTGTTCTTAAAGTTATGAGTTGTATAAATAGTTTTATGTATTGGAGTTTTTTTTTAATACAGTGATTACATTTATCAGTCAACATTTGAAATTATTTTATCATTTAACATTTTGACATTCAAATTAATGGAGGTATAAATTTACTTAAAGTTTTTCTTACAAGCTTTTGGTTGGGGGAGGAAGGGCAAGCCCCTTCTTCTCCCGTAAAAACATCACCTTAATATAGTACCTACTTACGAGTGCAATAATGTTTTGAAATAAAATATATTACATAAATATTTTGTTTTGACGGCACATACTTTGTTGTATTCAAAAATTATGCAACTAACTTTACGGACGGATGATATTATTATTATATCCCACTATTATAATAGTATGGGTATGGGTTTATTCAATAGGCACTTTGAATACCTACCATTAAGTAATATTAATATTTCATAAGTGTTATGGAATATTGTTTTCACGAGATAATAATAATACGAACTTCAATTATGTGAAACACAAAGACTATTTAGATAGTTTGGTCACGCAATTTCGTGTACACATAATGTTTACTAAAATGTATATCGCAATTAGTTGTGCTCGGTGAATATCGACGGAAATCAAATTATCAATAACGAACTTCGATTTGGATTTGATTTTTTAGATTACACTTCAAGCGTCCTAATCAATAACACGCTAGACGTGGACAAGTCGTTGTTGGACGAGACTGACTTCAATTGCGTTCTGTGTTGCGGAATGTTGAGGAACCCTGTGACGACACCGTGTGGGCACACGTACTGCTTAGACTGTCTAGAGCACAATTTCGATTACAGTTTCCACTGTCCGCTGTGTCTGACGTCACTGCCGCCCGTGAGTAAAATAATATCGTTATTCATTATCATCTCGACGCAATACATTATCGTAATGGTATGTTGTAATAAGTAATAACTAACAAAAGTAATAATAATAATAATAAAAAAAAGAAAAAAAAGGTGGGTGAGTGGATGTCGCTCTGCTGTACAGTAGGTTACAAGTGGGTCACTGTAAAGGATGGTGTTAAATTTGAATTCAATGATAATATAATATCATTGTATAAGAAAAACTGAGCGAAGACGGATGATATTATTGTGAATAAACTAATTTATATATATAACTTATTTACGTGGAATCTTGGTTTAAATTTTCAATCCTTAGCTATAAAAGTTGAACGTTTTATAAATTTTTAACTACAAAATTATTATTAAATTTTAAATTTGATACATTTTGTCAAAATCCGAACTTTAAATGCTTACAAAAAAAAAATCGTGCCTATGTATTTTTAATATTTTTCAACTGCTACTGTAACGATATATCAAGAGCCTAGCATTCAATTTTCACGCTTATTTAACCAACAAATAAAATTGCATTGATATTTATAGAAAAAGAGACTAAAAAAAGTTGAAAACTGACAATGTCCGTAAACAACTCAAAAATAGTCAAATTATTTTCAAAATTATATGGTGTATAGAAAATGCTATTATAAACATTCAGTGAAATTTTCAAGTATCTACAGTCATTTATTTTTTAATTACAATAAAATAAGAAAATCGTTACATGAGAAATCTAGTGAAAATCCAATGTTGTAAAAATATGAATTTCAAACGCTCATAAAAATGTAATTTTTGACTTTCATGTAGACATTTTTTTTGTTTGATAAAGGTATACAAACTGATGAGGAATTTTGTATTTTGTATTTTACATTTTCAAATCTTAGATTTAAAAAGAACATTTTTGTGAATTTCTAACTCAAAATAATTTGAAAAATGTCTTCATTTGTACATATTTTGTCAATATTTGAAATTAAAATGCTTATAAAAAAAAATTGTTACTATGGATTTTTAATTTTTTTCATCTGCCCTTGAAACAATAAACTAGGATCCTTGTATTACATTTTCATGCTTTTTTACCCAACAAATAACATTTTATTGATATTTATAGAAAAAAAAAACTAAAAAAAAAGAAAACTGAAAATGTCCTTAAACATCTCAAAATAAGTCAAAATATTTGGAAAATGTTAAGGTGTATAGAAAATGCTAATATAAACATTCGGACAACATTTCATGTACCGAAACTTGAAAGTCATTTGTTTAAGAGTTGCACCAAAAACCAAAATCGATTTTTTCGAAAACAGATTTTTCGTAAAAATTCCCGTTTCTCCTTAATTTTTCTTTTGTTTTTCACGGTGCTATTGAAAACTAGTGGGAAATATTTACTTTTGACCCCCCAAAGTACCAACTAGATTCACTTTCCTATATCAGAAAAGATACTGTTGAAGAAAATCCTAGCATTTTTACTGTCCTATAAAAGGTGATGACAAACACAAAAATAAAACCCACACCATTGTAAAATCAATATATTCAACGCTCCGCTCAGAATCTAAAATAGTAATAATAATACTATTGAATAAAAAACGTCGTCGATACAAAGTCGTCAGTGTTTATTGTCAATTATTAAAATAATATTGTAATCGTGTATACCGCACCGTCGACCGCCAACGTTAACCACGGTAGTGAATGTACACTCATGCATACTATTATATCTACCTACACTTCGTATATATATATAAATATAATATCTGCAAAAACACCGCAAGCAAAGGGTTTCTCGGCATTTCACAAGGGGACAAGACAAAAAATTTAAATTCACATGATATTCGATATGCCGCATCACTTGCATTTTATTGTATCTATTATTTTATTCGCATCGAAAAAATTAAATTTGAATGAATATTTTAATATCAATAGTTGCTTTTTAATCGAACGTCTACGATATCATAATATTAAACAGACTCGTGTGTCTCGAAATACGTCAATACTATATTATTTTAGTCACCATTGTCGTATTATATTTGAAAAACGAATTTCGCGTATAATAAAATATATAGATCATAGATAATAAGTGTCCTATATAATATTTAGGTATAGTGATTATAATATCACCGATTTTATTGTACTAACTCTATATAGCTATATACTCGAAATGAGAAACGCTTACACTCGTCTGAAACTGTTTTTGAACACCTCGCTTATAATATATTATAGTTAGTATAATAATATATGTAAAATGTCGTCCGGTCGTTTGCAGAGCTTGGCGCTGAGCAACAAGAACACCTCGGAATTCGTCAACGAGTTGATCGGCTGCAAGTACACCAAAAATAGTCCCATGCAGACGGTAAACTGGAAACCGGAAGCGGAACACGACAGCACGTACTTGCCGGTGTTCGTGTGCACGAACGCTTTCCCGTCCGTGTCATGTCCCCTGCACGTGTTCGAACCGAGGTATAGGCTGATGATCAGGAGGTGCATAGAATCGGGTACGAGGAGATTCGCCATGATCAGCAACTGCTGTCCTCCCATGAAGTTCGTACACTCACGCACGTATACATAATAGTAACAATAACGATATCACAATAATAATAATGTTATCTATACATGTCAGGTCTCCGTACTTGAGGGGATCGGTGGCGGACAGATATTAAGGAGTTTGAAATAGGCAATTTTTAAAATTGCGTGCATGCGGGTCTTGTAAATGTTTGCGTAGTAAACCATCATTATAGTGTGTGTGTGACTTTGTGAAAAAAAAAACATCAGAGCCCTCTCGTACACGCGTCATAAGTCACCGCATCGCAGTGGCGTCATTTGGGGGGGGGCATTTTCCCCAGTCTAGTATTTACATCATCCTTAAGTCGCCGCATTTACCACTCCTCCCCCCACCACTTTAACCACTATAGCACTATGCTATGAGAATCTGAGTGAAAACAATTTTGGGTCGGAAAAGCAAGGAGAAGTTGCCCTAATGCCCTAGTCTAATAAAAACTAAAATGACGCCACTGCCGCATCGACGTTGTGCGCGTGAACGGTAAACAATTTACGCTCGTTTGTTTGTACTTTATATTCATCCCACCGATCGACCTAATTATGTGTAAATATTTCAGAAAACTGATCTGAATTCGTCATAATGTCTACTTGAGATCGGTCCGTCCACATTTTAAGATTTCTGATTTAAATTCCGAATAATCAACGTTTCAAAGTCCGAAATTTCAAAATATTCAAACTAAATGTACAGTTTGTTTGGTGGGATGGGGGGGGGGGTGAAATTGGGAAAATCAGACCGACCGATTTCAGGTAGGCATAATAACGAATTTAAAAAGTATTGTAGCATTACTAGGTCAATCAGTATGACGGACAAAAGATTGGTATGTTTTGCAGGCTAAAATAACTGTCCGCCATATTACAAATTCAAACACATTTCAAGTGCATATTCTTGAACATAATGAATTATGACAACTAAAATTTAAGACTCGGTGTTTTTTTTTTTTTGTACCTCATCACTGTGGTTTTTTCACTATTTTAGAGCGGAAAAATTACTTTGATATTTAACATAACGGTGCAGGTTTCAGTAGTTCGTATTGCAGATATATAGACATACTTTGTTGGGTCAATAGAATTCCCATTACTTTTCTTAACAATTATTGGAAAAAACAGCGGGTACCAGCAGCACCGTTTTTTGACAAAATCCATCGTTTAATTATTTGGTTATAGGTACAAAAATAAATGACCGTAGACCCTTATTGACATTTTAACCAAATACCATTTTCTAGGCAGATTTAATTTTAAAACTATAACTATTATAGTTATGGTAAATACTTATCTGTTTTTTTTTTTACTCTGGTTATTGCATATTTTGAAGTTTTTGTGGATTGATTTTTGAGCCTTGATTATTATTTATTGTATCATCAAAATGATTAAACATTGTTATGTATTTAATGTGTTATTAAAACGGGTTATGGATACGTGCACAAAAAATAAGCGTCATCAATCATAAAATGTTCGCACTATTGCATGACGCCGAACGTTTTTTCATTACATTCATATTCTGGCGCTGCTCCGGGTCTTAATCTTTGCCTCGAATTTCAGGTTCGCCGAGTTTGGGACAGTGCTAGAAATCAAAGATCGGATCATGATGGGCAACGGTTGCTCTATTCTGTCAACAATCGGAATGCGGCGATTCAAAGTGTTAGTCCGAAAAGAACACGATGGCTATGACATGGCCACCGTGCAATACATACAGGACGAAAAAGTTCCTCCGAAAAAATTAGTAGGTCAGTATAATATATTTCTTACGAAACGTGTTATTATAATAATAATATTATACGTCGCGCGCGTAGTCGAACCATGTTTTTCGTTCAAGAAAACTCATCGGTGGCGCAGAATTTGTGCGTCTGCGCCGCGACATCACGACAAAACTATTATAATATGAGCTGAATTTTAATGACCTCCTTATGGTATTGGTTATGTGTGTAGAATTATATAAACTTCACGACGACGTTCGGCAACGAGGATTAGCGTGGTTCGACGGTTTTCGGTCAGAAATAAAATCGGAAATCCTGAGGACGGTTGGCTTTCCGCCGAGCACCGAACCAAATTGGGAAGAACTCTCCGACGGTCCAGCTTGGACGTGGTGGTTGTTGTCGCTATTGCCACTGGGCCAAAACGCTCATGTAAGTCTCAATAATCTATTATAGACATTTAATAATTGTAACTTTTGTGATATTACCCTGCTCGCCTATACATGTAGTATATACGTATGAGCATCGAGCGTGTTATAATATTATAACCAAGACCTCGAGGGGGCACTTAAATGGTGGCCCGCAGAAAATACATTTTTTCTTGCAGCGAATTTCATTGAGCTCTCATTAGTTTTCATTCTATTTTTAGTTTTACCTTTTCTTTTTTTAATAAATCAGGGATGTTGAATTTTTAAGGCTTCTAAAAGCATCCGGGATTTCTGACGCGACCCTCGCTTTGGTAACCCCTATTATAAGCTTAGGCTCCACTGCTATAAAATAAATTACTTCAGTAAAAATACCGAAACAGCTACAGTGAATCTTAAGTGATGATTTGTAGTTTGTGCAGTAGTTTGCAGTAGTAGGCGCCTATAATTTGTAAATGCACAACAAATTGTACTGCTCGTATACGCATATTGTACGTATATATATATATTATATATATAGGATTTGTATTTCTAGATTATATATATATATTAATGCCTAGCTAGCAGGTTATTTTTGGTTTTTTAGCTACATTAGCATAATATTCCTGTTTGATAGAATAACAAGAATATATTATAGTATTTAACATGGAAAATAAAATGACATAACGACTTACTTAAATTCGTCGGCTGCGCATTCTGCATCCGTTTTGTATATTATTATTAATACCTATTGAGTATTGGCTTACATAATCTATAAATATTTATTATTCATTATTACTATTACTAAAACATGAATAGTTATAGTTAATTGAGAATACATGAAATATTACTGTATACCTAATGGTATATCAAAACGTTGTGTAAGCAGTATCTTTTGGCATGGGCATACACAAATTAACAGCCTAAAAGATACTACAAATATTTGATAATAATATGACTATACTTATATTATGTTGCCTTAAAAAAGTAGATAAAACATAATAAGTTCATAAAGTTATTCAATTTTCAAACTAAATTTCTTCGTCTGTTTACACAGACTTTATTAATATTTTGGAAGTAGGATGGTATTCCTATTACAAAAATAATGTAATTACTCCGATTAAACATATTAATATTATGTACTGTTTGTTTAGGTTTTTTATTCGTTTCTATTAAGTGCAGATTTACCAAACAAACAACGCCAAATTAATTTATCGTTTTACAAAAAATAGACCTTATTAATTCAAATAAACTTTTATAGGTACCTACCTTAAAATTAAAGTTGTTTCATAACATACATAATCGAAAATTAGTTATCGTGCAATATGATGAGACATATATTTTTGTTTTTAAATGCCATGCTTTTTTCATAAGTAGGTAATATTATTTTCATTATCATAATGGTAAAAATGTTCTCGTAAACCAATTTACGCTCTTGGTTATTTATGATTATTTCCTACATAAATAAATAAAAACATATTATAACAAAATACCTACTTTTAATCTATGTCTATTATATTTGAGTTAGATATCATTACTAATATGACATTATAAGCTATTATAATGCTATATTGTTTTTAGAAAAAATGCAATTAAACGCTCGTCATATTATATCCTAAACTAAACGCATTGCAATGTTTTTTTTTTTTTTTATCGAATTAAACTAATATTATAAGTAATAAATTTTAACATTTATGGGTTCTCATTAGTCGTTACATAATATAGACATATAAACAATAAACATTAATGCCATTAAATATTATCATGGCCGTATATGCGATTGGTCATTTCAGGGCAATAAAACGTATTTTGTCGTCATAAAGTATATAATAATATTATATAATATTGGTCTCTTATGTCTATAATAATTTAGGTGTACACTATTATACACTCTAGTTGGTTTATTTTTCTGAAAATGGGGTCAACGTTTTATCGAGAGAAAAACACATCAATAAATATCGGAGGATTTATAAATAACGAGTGAAGGTAAATAACTCGTTGCGGTGTGTGTACACCTATATTGCCAACCGCTAACAAAATTCAAATTAAATACCGTGTTAAATACCTAGGTGGGGGGGGGGCTAGGTATAGCCTAATAATAGGTACTCGACGGCGTACATCGCAACGGCGGAAACCTTATTTTCAGCGCATAGTACAATTTCGACAACAGCCGTGAATTGCAAAAAAAAATAAAAATCGAAATACATAACCTAACCTACTACACACACACACACACACACACTCATCGCACAGTAATAATCATTATATATTATTAGATTATACACGCACTGATTTGACATTAGTCCGATGTCCGACGGTTCTTATGTAACTCGTTCCGTAATAGTAAACACACGCGAGTTTCGTCCGTTTTTTTTTTTTTTTTTATCGGTCGTACGGCGTAGGTATATACTACCTAATATGTAATGAGCGTCATTATTATTATTATAATAATAATTATTATTCGTTGCACGTACCCATCATGCCCGTATGTGAAAAGAGCTTCTTTTTAGACAAACGCGCGCGTGCATTATACCTGGCATATTGATGATACGGTCAGCGAATTGTACATAAAATTATCATTATTGTGTATAACGAAATATAATATAATTTATAAATAAAAAACGCAGTCGAATTACATAGGTATATAGATTTGTTGCTTACACAATATCGGGTACTATTGAAAGAGCACGAGCAGTTGGCCTATATAGGCACCATCGAACTTAAAGCCGACAACGTTATCGTACCTGCAGCCGTGATCGTACGACGGGTGTTAAGGTATTTTAATTTGTCATAATACGAGCACAGGTAATACCTATTTTAATGGTTTATTGTACTCAAAGTAATATTATATTATTCTCGCGTTGTATCATATGACATTGCGATGTGCAATAGCAAGAGCGTGGCACTCGGTACATACCTAAATAATATGTAAAGCTAATGATGGACGGGGTCTGCAGCTCGAGGGGTCGACCAATCGATTTTAAGTCCCTCCGGCGGCGTGGTTTTTCCGCAACCGTTTAATGTTAATATTATGGTGTGTACGTGTGATACTAATTATGATACGGATGCATTGGGTTAGGTTAGGTTGTGTTGTATGTATATTATAATATGCACTGGACATGCGATTTGTTTTTTAACCAATTTACTTATTATCTTGTAGGTGTAAAATTCCGCGAGTCTTGCGCAACAAGTGTTATATATTATACAGAGGTTATTTTCGACCGTTGGCAGTGCAAAAAAAAAAAATGTTTCGAATACAGGCAGCTGCGGGTATTATGCTCGTGTTCATGCTGCAGGTGTATAACCAGTCGCTATAATTTAATATATCATAGATAATATCATTACATCGACCGCCGAATATTATTTAACGAGCTATAGTTTCGTTATCGGTGTTAATTATAACATGCATATAAATTTTAGGGTCGACTGACCCATGCCCGTCGAGACACCTTTGTGTGTATAAATTGGTTAAAAAAACTTGAAAAACAACATTCTCGAGGGCATTCATTATCGTATTTACGTATTTGCGTAGTGCGCGCATTCTATTTTTGTGTATGGTAGGGTATGGTAACTGATATTATTCTTTATTGAAGAAAAAATTCAAAAAATCAAAACGCGCGGGAGTTTCGATAAGGTTTAGAAAACGCACACACTCGGTAAGTACTGACCTTGACGGTGACTGTCGATATATTAATCTTTGGAATAATATCGATCTTAAAAAGAAAACTTTGTGATGTATTATGTATATAGATTAAGTTTGAACATACCTACGTGAAATAACTCTTATATACTGCAATTCGGCCCAGGGCCGTCCCGAAGGTGGGGGGGGGGTTATATGCGGTGTCCCACCCCCCTAAGCGTACCATATGTATATGTCAGTTGGCATATTGATACATTAACTATTAAGTATTTGAGTTGGGCAGTTATCACTCGGCAAATTATAACCTTTTTTTTTACAGTTTTTAAATAATTTTGTATATACTGCTAAGTCCAAATATATTATAATAATATGAAGGTATTATAAGTTAATTTTCTGATTACCAACAGTCCAACACAAATACTATTATAATATTTTAGACTTTAGTACCTATCAATGTATTATATATAAATATATAATATTATAATAGTATACAAATTTTCCTATACATGTATTTCTTCTATTCAACCATTATTCGTATTATTTTCCCAACCATTTAATAAAAGCAATATTTCATTGGATAATGTAAAGAAATCTATTTCTTTATTCCCACCAAGCAGTGTAGGTGCAAATCTTCTAGATTATGATTTAGTTCAAACAGAACTAGAAATATTATTTAGTATGTTACAAGAAGGTAGAACATTACCATTTAATTCTTTAATGGAAAAAGCAGAAGAAGTAAAGCATATTCATGTGCAATGTGCTAATCAAATTTGTCGTTTAGCATTGACTTCTCCTGTAACACCTAGTCACATCAAACGAAAGATCTTTTAGTATACTAAAATTGATTAAAACACATCTTTGGTCAACAATTGCTGATGAGAGATTAAACTCTTTAATTGTATTGAGAGTAGAAAAAGATATTGTTGACGTTTTGGATATAAATAAAATAGCACATAAATGGTTAATTATTTAAAAAACCGACTTATACAAATTTAGTGTTAAGTTTATTATAAATATAATATTTTGTTGTTGATATAAAAATATTATTTGAATATTATATTATATTATAAAATTATAATTATAGGTAGTATAATAAATATACAACAGTCAACAGTGTTATAAATTTTGTTATTGAAAATATTTTATTCTAATACACCTATCAAGATATGATAAAAATATATATACGTATAGGAACTAAGAGATAGTAAAATGAAGAACATAATAAAATATTTAATATGTTGTAATATTGTGTAAAATTTGTCTACTGACTACTATGCATGTAGCCGGTAGTTGTTGAGCGAAGAGAGAAAGTTTTTTTTTTGGTTGGCAAATTATGAATCAAACCACCCCCACCCCCCCCCATGATTTGTCTTTCAGGACGGCCCTGGCTGTGCCCTGGTTAGGTTAGGTTAGGTGCATTTGCGTGCAATATTAATTGTTCCCTCGACGAGCCGTAGGTTCTGAAACGAAAAAAATATAATTTTCGGTGGCATATAGCTTTTACGCCGTATTTATGCAAACAATTTATTATTATGCTTAAAATATCTGAAAAGCGTGTTATCATAATATGGGTATATTATTATAAAGATCGATTATTTCAAAGGTGAGTGTGTGAAGGTGAACCTAACCTAACCCAACAATTTATATTTAAATAGGTATAAAACACCACCTAAGAAAATTCCTGATTACGAGCATGATTAGGTTGGCCGAAGCACAACAACAAATACTCGAGTCTCGAGTCTATTATTTTTTTTTAACTCATTAAAATTCTTCATTTTTTAATATATCTAGTTAAATTATTTTTTATCGACAATATTTCAGTGATGTACCGCATAAGACGTAAAGGCAATTAATAGCCAATAACATCATAATTTATCTGTGTTTGATCGTCGTGTATTTAATAATTAATTTACGATGTTTTAATATTTTCGAGCGATTTATGAGCACTTTTGAATCGTAACGTTTTACATAAAATCGTCATTGCTAGAAAAACAATTATTATTTCAATATCGTAAAAATTTCGACCATCATATTATTGCAGAATTTTGCCTAAAACTGTTTCGTATATCATATTGTGAGGTCGTAGTAATATAATATCCATCAACACAAAATATTTTGAAGTCAAAATATTTGCTGTGAATTCGGACACAATACACGGGTGTGATGCACTGACATGGTCGATCTGCATACGGGTGAGGCGATCTGGCGATGACGTGATCAATCGAGCGCGCGCGGCGCCTTGTTTGCGTGGAAGGTAACGGTGGTGGCGGCCGTGCCCCTGGTACCCCGAACCGCCGAGACGCGGCAACGGCGCTGTGTGGACCTGCCGCGCAACCACGGCACCCTGCGACCCTGTTACCGCGGCCCACCGATCGGCCGGTGTTGCTCTCGCCCAGGGTGGTGTCCGTCTAGTGTCTACTGTCGCTTGGTCGCCGACTTGTGCATGGGACCCTGGTAGCCGAAGACACGGATGTGATGCAAGAGTTTGCTTGACGGACACGTCCAGTGCACTTCTGCCGTCGCTGTGTTTCCGAATTACTTCGTGGCATTTTCGATGCGGGCACTTAAAACTTTAAAGTTTCAATCGACCTATTATGAAGTTTAATAACTGTGCATCTACCTTCTCCGAAATAGATAAATAATAATTATTTTTATTAGTTTAAAGGGTTTTTTTTACGAGAAAAAGAACTAAAATAAATTCTCGCTCCATTTTCTTGTACTTGAAATGTATTTTTTTTTTGGATACGCTTAAGAGGTCGTCGCCGTAACACACGGGTTTTCTCAGTTTTATTAACGCAGAAACACACCGAAGTTCAAAAGTTGAGAATTTCTCCAATTTCGTGTTGTTAATATTAGAGTGAATTATTGACCTATTATGAAGTTTAATAACTATAAAACTATCTTCGCCAAAATAAATAAATAATAATTATTTTTATTAGCTTAAACTTTAAAGGTAAGAAAATTATTTCATTTTTTTTTACGGTATTTGAATTTTAAGCAAGTCATTTTTAAAAACATTTTTAAATGTTCATATTTTACATATTTTTTACTTGCTTAGCAACTAAAATATTGCAAACGAAATAAACACAGACAATGTTTTTATCCTCAACTCTTAAGTGTCATAATATGCCAATAATTCACTACAATATTAAAGCTAACAACCCAAACTTGGAAATGCAAAAACGCATATTTTTGTGTGGTATGCTAAATTAAGACGGAGGAAAATGCGGTACGAAGTCCTTTCAAAGCGCTGTAAAGTTGAAGCACTCAGAGGACGTTTTGTCCGCATTTGTTATCTCAGCCTTACTATAAGACGTTCAGTAGTTTACATTTTTTTGTGTCGTTTGCCTAAATAGTTTAATTGAATTATCATACAATAAAATAAAATAATCATATTATATTATCAACTTAAAAGACGTATAAGAACATCAATTCAAAATTTGAGTACTCTCGTTGGGTTTTGACGATATTTTTTGAATTTTTAACGAATAGGTATGAAAAATATTAATATTTAAATTATTAGAATAATATAATGTCCAAGACCTCGGCAACACGGTTGTGATGTCCTCTTGGCTTTAATTAAATTTTGACTAGAATAATTCAGTTAATGAATTTTAAAGAAAAAAATTCGTTGGACTAAAGACTAAATTAATGCGTTTTTGTTCGTCCAACGTTATCAAGGTCTTCAACGTAATTTTTCTTTCGCTTTTAATGTTATGAATGTTACATAATTTTGTTACATATATTTTTCGGTTCGACGTTGTGATATATTTTCACCTTATTTTTTTATACGTATCGTTAAATACTTAAAATATATTTTTACATCTAAATCATCGTACTTATAGTATCTATCATATTGGACGTTGAGTAAAATATAATATTTATAAATCTATTGGATCACTTTTATTCCATCTTTTATCGAAAACGAAATTATGTCGATATCTACAAACATAATATTATTTAATATTTATGTATACAATACTCAAAACTATATTTTTTAGGTTAAAGTAATTTTTTTATGACGTCTCGATTAATACCAATGTTACTACTTTCCATGATGTCTTAAAAAAAAAAAATCTAAAATTCTAAAATAAGAGTCTCGTTAGAAAATATTGTAATTAGTAAGTCTCGTTGTTACGAACAAAAAAAATCAATAACCGTTTCTAAAGTTTGACCACGCCCACTAAGATCATGAGATCATAATAGTTTGATAAAATATGTTAAGTAAAATCATTTTAGGAATCGGTACCAACAACCATGCGATAGGATGCAACGTTATTGGTGCTGTACAGTATAAAATATAATTATTGACCGTTTCACCAGCAGCAAAATGATTTGTACAATATACAACAAATAACAATAATTATTGTAAAACATTATACTAATCGATGTGTGTCCGGCAGCCATCCTTACTCCTGTAAACGACATATAATCGAAAATATCCTCGTCGGATCTCGGACGCGGTCGTCCTGCTCGGCGATCGCCCCTAAGCATAATATTATACTTGTCGTATAATCCTTATCGTATATATTGTCCTTTATACTTGCCGTGAGTTCCACCTTTCTGAATGTTCATGACGGTTCTTTTCAATGATTTTTCAAACCAATATACCATGGTATCATCGCGATCAAGACGAGGAGGATTTGGACGCGATAGATCCTTTATTTTTTTTTTTCGTACTATTTGTTTGGAAACGATTAGCGGCGCTTTTGTTGTGAGCAACAACATTCTTATTGTCGTACAAAACAGCTTTTAGGGAAACGACCAATTATTTTCTCTAATCTCGCGGTGTACAGTAAAATAATATTACACCATAACGATTGCGATAACGGTACGGCGGTGTACCTATATTATTATTATCACATTTTAACTACCTACCTATATATTATACTTAATAATAATAATTAATATACCTGTGATGTGTATAATTTTATCGTGTTGTGCAACCGAATTTGGTGTATAATATTATAAGAAACAATCATATGATGATATACAATTTTGACGAAGAAACATATTAATATTTTGTTTTCGCAGGTGGACCTCTTGGCCAACACTAGCATCGAAGTCCGGTTAAAAGTGATCAACAAAATTCTCAGCCGCATCGAACGGAGCTCGTTGTCCCTGAGAATAACGTCGTCACCAATGCAGTATAATAATTAATAACAATCAATAACGATATGAACCGTATAATATTATTATTATGATTATTATTATTAATATTATTATGTCAACGATACTGTTATTATAATATTATAATAGTAATTTTTTTTGACGGTCAGGCGACCGGAAATCTCGACGACGACAATATAACCACTTATATTATTTATATGTTTGTATAATGTTATATTATAATAGTATGTCGTAGGCGGCGCGGGTGTCGTAGTATCCGATCTTATAATAATTATTCTTATTTATGTACCCACACGATATTGTCATAATGATTATTTTACGTACGATTATTAGACGTCCGACGTCTCCAGATGATAATATATTATTTCATTGTTGTTATTATATTAATTATTACTATCGTACAATATTATGTCCTGTGATCTCCGAATCTGGTCAATTCAGTTGCTGATAATTAATACTATCACGCGTACCTATAGGTAAATTAAACGATTTTTGCTTAATGTGTTTCTGCATACCAACTTCCTGAAATCTAAGAAAACAACTACCACAAATTTACCTGATTCATCTCAATTTTATTATTTAAGATAACGCACATTTACACTACGTTGTGAACAATAGTTATTAGTCTGTTAGGATAATATTATTATTATTATTGTATTTCCGCGCCTGGAAAGATATTATGATTTTGAATTATATTACGGTAGTTTTTGCTTTTTGATCGTTACAACGAATTCTCAAACTATTATGGCACCTATGTTGATAAATTTTAAACTACCCAAAAGTCGCTCCTGCGGTTGAATAATAATTATTGTGATATTGAAATGTGTAATTGTTTATATTTATTTATTTAGTAATATTATATTTTTATTGTTTAACATGTTTACTACCTCTTTAAGAACGCAAGGCGGTAGGTGGGATTTTTTTAATGATTCTTTTCTACTTGTTTCTGAGCTTAATTATTATAACTGTCAACTTACAAAAATAAATATTCTTTATTTCTTGTTTGACGACAATATTGTGCTAATGTTTTTCTCAGCATACACTTAAAGTTCTATAAAAATGAATAAACCTATAATTTTTACCCGTATGATTACTCAAATATTCTGTTGTTAGAGAGGTATCCTGCGTTCCCATTAAAATGGATTACTAGTCGTTCATTTTTTTTTATCGATAGTTTAAATAATATAGAAAGACAAATCGTAATTTTTTACTTTTATTTGTTTTTTTTTTGTGCTGTAACAGACGTAAATACAGAAATTATAAACCATGTTAATGTGTATAATATTATTATGTAATTATTTATTATATACATGTGTTTCTAATTTATTTTTTGTGAATGCTTATTGTTGTTTTTGTGAAAATTTTTATTTGTAGAATGTAATACTATTGGCAATTACACGATTTTACCTATGTGTGTAATTGCCGCTCATATACCGGATTTTTTTTTACCCTAACCAAAATTATTTGGGAATTTATTGTTTTGATTATAGATAACTCTTTGAATAAGTATTACAATTACTTATAAATATATATATATATATTATTTGTTACCTAAACAAATTTAATTGTGAACGAAAGTGTGAACAATAATTGAAACCTATGTAAACTGTATAAGTAATAACAATAAATATTAAATTACAATAATATAATAGCTCGTTTCTTGACCATATAGTATAATATATTTTCATAGGCAAATAATAAATATATCTGGTGTCGTCTGCAGTCCAGTGGCGTACACAGATATTTTCAACAGGAGAATAGTTTATAGCACATATAGTTTTACAGCTTGATGGGTTTGTGCACGTTTTATATTTTGAATATTTTTCAGGATGTATAGTGAATTTTAAAGCAAATTTATTGAGATTTTAAATAAATTTTCTTAGGTTTTTCGCTGCATTCAATCCACACCAGACATAATTATTACAATTTATGCAAATCAAATTATGTGTTGTTTTTTTTGTTGTATAATATATGTAAATTGAAACTTCTCTATTACTAAGTCTCAAGGTATCATGAGTAAACAATTTGTCTTATAAAAAATTTCGTAAAATAAATCAAAATACATTTAATTCTCAAAAATGTTTAGTTAGGTGAACATTTTGTTAATTGGATTAACTCATAAGGAAGTTCGTCACTTATTAAGGATTACCCATATCTACCAATGCATTTCTCTATCTAGGGGGACATTTTTTTTTTGGCAAAATTGTTACTCGACGGTGCCATAAACTTCCACCACAAAATTCACTAAAAGTACAATTTTTATTAAAAAGCCATCAACAGGTATGCCGCCCACACCCAAGTTCGAAAAAAAGTAATATTTTCCAAATTTTTTTTTCTACCAACGTAGTTATCACCATTTAAAAATTAATAAATAATTGTTATTGCCGTGATGACGGCGATGGTCGACGGCGTACGACGATTACACAAACGTCATTAGAAATATAATAATAACTCTCCAAAAATAATAATAAAAATAATAATTGTAAAATAATCACTACAATGTTATAATGTGATGTCATTTCAAAACAATATTTCCGAAAAAAAAAAAAAAAAACATTTTTACTATTATTAATTTTTGGGGTTTTTACGATTTTGAATGATACCATACATTTTTATTTCATATTCCGAAGCAGAATGTTATTCGGAGTATTTCAATGTATAAAAATAAAATTTCAGAGAAGTACATAAGTCATAAATTATAACTTTTCTCTAAAATTAAATAAACTTTTGACACCGGTCATATAGTCACACAGTTATAACTAGCCCGTGTCAACTATGTGTTGACATCGGCGTTCAACGTGTCAGAGGATGAATGATTGTGTAATACCTATTATTATTTTTTTTGGGGAAGATAGTATAATTTATACATAATTTCTATGTTTATATTACTTTTTTTATTTTTCGTAAGCTATTAAGAGCACCTGAGCGTCCTCATATACCAACAGCGCCCGGGGCAAGGATACTCACTTTGCCCCCCCCCCCCCACCTAGGTACTGGGTACGTATATAATGGGTGAGACCGTTTTCGACCAAAAACCGTATACCCTTCCCTTTTCGGCCTATTCACTTTTCAATCAAATTTAAAAAAACTGTATGACTGTATATCAGAATGATATTTTTAATTATTATTAATTATTACTTCTACGTCAGTCTATTATATTATTAATACATTTATTTTATATAAACTTAAGTTGTTGACTGTACAACAGAATTATATTTCATCTAAATTATGTTTGATATATTTTTTTATAAATCGATTAATTATAGCTATAGCAGGCGATTCCAGTATACAAGAGTAGGTGGTGACCCTCTACTTAGGAGGCAATTCGAGTGAATAATATTTTTGAAATCGGGAAGCAATCCGGGTAACCTTTTAAAAAAAATAAACTCACGGAAGGCAATTCGAGGGTCAGATGGGAGGCAATTCGTGAGCGCCCATATAACATATCAATACCTACTAACTGAGTTTTTAAAAATAAGCGCTGGCGCGTTGCCTAATAAAAAATCCAAGAGCTGCCTAATCAGAACGACGATCATACTCACTGCCGTCACTGGTTAGTAGTAAACAACATTGTATAATTATTGAGTTCATTTTCGGTTCGAATCTATTTCACGAACCATTGCTACCTACTGCTAGATAACCGGAGAGGCCGAAATTATCGAGTTATCTAATTATTAGCGAAGCCCTCGATGAATCGTTGATCTGCAATAATTATGGACAACGAAGGCGATCAATGGCCGAAATCGTTGACGTACCGTGCTGTGATGTCTCCGATCAAATCAATTCGCTTTAAATACTACTTTACTACTTTTTCGATTGAGAGAACTCGTTACACGGACATTTGTCGTCTCCGTCTTACAAGCGCGTAACACTGCAAAATTGCAAGCTCAGCAACTCGTGTTTAGAGCTCCCTTTGATAACTAAAGGTAAGCGTGAGATTATTATCTATAGGGAGTCACGCAGGCATTGCATTATATTTTAATTTTAAGGCGAGTTTATTAGTGTTTTAAAATTGTAAATTGTCAACTTAAAAAACTCACAATATTCTGATAACTGCAGAGTTAAGGGGGCTCAGCGTGTCACGTCTTAAGGAGAACTATTTGGGCAGTTCGGATGACATAGACAAATGTGTGGAGTAGTACATTAACATTAGTGTGTATTTCCGAGATTTACTGTAATACCGATGAGTAGGGTTTACCGTCGCCGGATGCAACTCTTGCACATGTCGATACTTTGCGAAAAATGAAATGAAACTATTCTCGTTTGCATTACTACAAAAACTACTAAAACCAGGTAGGGAATTAAACTTACTTCCTGAAGTTCAGTTGTAATCTCGAAAAAATTGTTTAATTTATAAGCTTCTGGACTATATTATGGTGCTATCTAGGAGTCACTTTTTTGATTTTTAAAATCAGACATGCCCAAAATAAATACAAATGTAAAGCAATTATTTCGTTAAATTAAAAAAAAAAATCTTAACTTTAAGGTCTTTTGAAATTGAAAATTGATAATGGACTCCCTAAAAAGCATTAATATGCTGCTTACAATAATTTTATATTTAAGCATATTTTGTCAAAGAGTTCATACATATTGTATTAAAAATTAATCTTTCATTTTCGGACATTCCGAAGTATGTGTAATTTACCACCGCTTAATGGTCAAAGACGTACGAAAATACGTGTGCCGCAATAAATAGATCATTTAGAAAGTACAATTTGATACGCGTTTGTGAGACAGAGACAACTGGTGCGGGTGTAGTTCCCTCTTTACTAATATTTAATAACACTAAAACTATATTTTTTTTATCATTCTTGTTAAATACAATTAATCACATAGCGTTAATTTACTATTAGGCTCCGAAACGATATTTTTAAATTTCGCCTCCCTGTCACAATTCAACATACACGTGTACGTAAGTTAAGTTGCCTATCAATTAAAATTTCAGGGGCGTTCTTCTTTTCGCCAAAAACACCGTTGCGGTTCGTATAATACGTCTTGCTACTTGTAGTAGTAGGTATAGTTGACGTCCG